TGGATGATTTTTCTTATGTCCTGATACATAAAACCATAGAATTCAAAGAGGGTGTACTTTCTTTTTCACACAACTGTAAGTCAGTAAATCAGTTTTTATCTTTTATCATCTTCACAGTGAGCTTTCATTAATTGCATTCTAGCCATTAACCCTCACTTTTCATGGTCTTCATCTCAAAATACTAAAAAAAGTCTCAGTTTTATAGTGTCCTAGATTTGTCTGAATTTAAGCCTGAATGATGCTCCTGCTCCAGAATAATGTTAACTCGCTATCCTATGTACTACAATTCTACTTTCTACTTGTTCCCTGTATTTCCAATGAATAAGAGCAGAAAAAAAATTGCCTAAATAAATTCAGAATGCAAATGCAGCATCTGCTAATTCACTCATATTCTAGATGGCATTTATGCTATTCTCTCCAGTATTGGTTGCTGAGCTTGTGCTATTTTAAAAATATAAAGTAAGAGAAGATTAAGTGCCAATTCTAGTAAGCAATACATTATATTTTAGACTTCTAAATCAAAGAGTTAAATTTGTCATCTGATGGATGTACTTACTGGACTGAGATTTTTTCATCAGCATCAGCAATGAACATACTGCCCACCTATGGAACAAAGCAGTATTGCATAGCTTTAGGATACACTAACCTATCTGGTCCACAGGGCTAAAAGTAACAGATGCTTTGTATTTTCTACAGAGTCAAAATTTAAGCCCATTAAAACATCTACAGAAACATTCTAGGTCTTCTCTCGCAAATTTTTGACCAGGCTCCTTGCATGGCAAGCACTGACTGACAGCACAGAGTCACTGATTTCTTACCATGTTAGTCAAGGCTGAGAAAAATCCACTCTGATGCTCTTCTTCTTTGTCTCTGTACTGTCTGAACAAGAACAGCAGTGGCAGATAAAGCAATAGAAGTTGCCATGAGCATCATTACAGAGCAAGAAAAATCTGTTCTTTTTAATTATAAGCATTTTTTTAAAATACAAAGTCCTCCAAATGATGCCTGGGTTTATTTTAAAGGAAAGAAATAACATCTGTTCCCAATGGGAAATACAAAAACTTTGACTTTCCTACAAACTTGATAAGGGAAGATATCTGAGAACATGATTTATAAAAGCCCTTTGAATTCAATGTTCCATCCATCCCAATGCTGCCTATTATATAAAATATGCTCCAAGTTCTTTGTTTATTTCTATATTGATTCATCTTCTTTTTCTCATGCAGAAACATAGTTATCTTCTTCTATTTCTCAGCAGCACTAGTGCACAAGATGCTTCAACAGACAAATACAAGGATAATATTGGGAATTTTCTACATGTAAACTAGCTGCCTTATAGCCCCTTCTCAGGTATTTTAAAAGGTCTAACCTACTTTTCCTTATATTGGAATTGCACTTTCTCTCTCTCACTACTGAGACACCAAGCCAAATGCAGTTGCAGTTTGCTAAAAATGCATTTGAATTTCTGGGCAGCTCTCTCTTACAACAGTTAATTATTTCTAACATAGTGATGAAAAGAGGATGTCATTGTACAGCAACCTATAGAAAGTACTGTAATTTACAAAAAATTGAGAATGGAAACCAACTAGTGTTTACCACATGCTCTTTTCTGCTGGGAAACATATACTTTCCTTCAAGTAATTCACACTAGTTGATATCAAGAGTTGATATCTGGATATTAAATGAAGTGGACCAAATTCTGGCTGGTCTAATTTAAACCGCTTTCACCAAAATTTATTTTTTGATAGCACTAAATGATTTACTTAGTCTCTGGGGAGCAAAAAATGTTAGAGGCAGTTCACAGAAAGGTACAGCCAACAGCAATTAAGGAAGAAAGTAAACGCAACACTGCCAGTTTTCATACAAAACCAAGCTGCTAATAAATCTGTTCTGTGAAGCCTAGCCTGTGTGTGAAGAGAAGAATGACACCATAAATAAGCATTTCAAACATTCAGACATTTGTTTCACAACTTTGCTCATACAAATTGCCGGTAAGAACATGCATACATTTTCTCAGGTAGATACTCATTTAACCAACAGACATTCCTTAATGTTACTTACCGGTTGTACTCTGATAATGCCTGGGCAACTACAAGACCCATTCCCTGCAAGAAAAGAAAAAGAGAAAGGTGCATGCAAATTAGGACAGAGGTGGCAAAGGTTTTTCAGATCACTCACAATAACACTTTAAACACTAGTCAATAAACTAAAGGCCTCGTTTTGCATAAGATTCTGACTTTTCTTCAAGTGAATTGTACAATGCTTTCTAAGAAGCCTCATTCCAACTGAACCAGTCTGGTGTGTTGACTGGATTATAAGATTAGTTCTAGGAAAGAATCACACTAAATCAGCATTTTCTATTAAGTTTCCTAAGTGACCTTGGCAGTTTAACCTCACTCACAAGTTTGTTATGGGGATACAATGTATACTGCCTTGAATTTGGGGGGCAAAAAATACAGGATATAAAATGCCACAAAAAATAAGATAAACATTTTTTTTTAATTGTATTAGCAATTCTCCTGGAAGAACCAAAATAATTTAAACCCAGACTTGCAACTGTTTCTTCAAATGGGATCCTCAAAAGTCAGAAAGAGTAAGAAAACAATGGAAATAACCACAACGTAATATGTAGCTTGCATATGTCCTGCAATATTATTCAACAGTAACATGGAAGCCACAGCACCTTGTGTACCTTTTTTAATTCACGTTTCATTTCTTACTTTATTCCTAACATTCTATCGCACAAAATTTACGTCATACTCACATTGAGCGTAGCTTCATCATCTATAATTGACAGCTTTACTATATAAGGATTCACAGACTGCAAGAGGGAAAAGAAAGTCATGGGATAATTTAATGATCAGCAAAGTTAACACAACCTCATTCAAGCCTTGCGTATTTTGTTTTATCACAGTAAATTCATACAGTTTCTATTAAAATGGTGGTTCTCCAGTTTTGTGCAGATCTCCCAAGGTTTCACCCTTGGCATTAAAGTATTCTCTGAAAGAAGAATTATTGCAACATTTCTATCCCATGTATGTTTTGCAGTCACTGGATGCTAAAACAACAGGCAGAGCTCAGAGACAGAAAAGAGGCTTGGCATGTAAAAGGCCTCAATCTTGATCCCTGCCAGAATTTTATATTCTCTTAAACAACAAAGCTGAAAACAACAGCACTCTAAATCAACTGTTAATTTTTTAACATACAGATAATCCTTGCTATCTGACCACAATAGGGACTGGAATTTAGGTCACTAAGCGATTTGGTCGTTAAGTGAATCAGAGCTGATTTTACAACATTTTTACAATGGTCATTAAGCAAATCACTGGGGTCATTAAGCAAGTCACATGGTTGTTAAGCAAATCACGTGGTCGTTAAATAAATCGAGCTTCCCCAGTGGACTTTTTTTGCCAGAATTTGCTTAACAACCACATGATTCGCTTAATGACCACATGATTCGCTTAACGACTATCATAAAAATGTCACAAACTGCGATCACATGACCACAGGGGTCGTAAAGCACTTTTCCCAAGGCCGTCATAACTCCAGACCATCATTAAACAAACAGTTGTTAAGCCAGGACTACCTGTAGCCTTAACAGGCCTTACGCATAAAGTTGCATTGAACTGTGGAAGGAGCTACACAGAGACAAAAAGTGAAGCAATAAGAAATAGAGCTGGATAGCACAACATGCAGCCTAGCAAGAAAACCTAAACTGCAGGATGAGACTTCAAAATTAGATAAGGAATGAACATAGATATGAAATTCTGCATTCAAGTACTGAAATTAAATTAAGAGCTTTTCATATGGAGCTAATATTTTATATTTGCATAACCAAGAAGGAAAAATTAATTGTGGATAAGAGAATGGGTAGAACTGTGAGAGATCTCTTTAAAGTCACAAATACATACGGATATAATCTTATATATATATATTTATCTTAGATGTGGATAACTTAAACTGAACTCAGCAGGGCTGATTTCTGAGTAGATATTCTAAAACTGCACTACATTAAACCCAACAACATCCTACTTCCTTTGGTCGTAGTAGGAAAGCTGTTCTAAACACATTTTCCTATATATTTTTTGTTAGAACTAAACTATGCCCCAAACCATGAGCAATGTCAGGAAGCATTAGTCTATTTCATATTCCTTAGCTTGATGTATTAGTCTTACCATTTAATTAATACTGTGTGTCTTTAAAAAACAAACAACTTGTTCATGTAAATTTACCAGTACATTAGAAGCCTTAAGATTAAAGTAATAGCAGCCATTCTTAACTTACGACTGCTAAATTGCTGTATTTAATTAGGACTTCAGAAGCCTGATGTTCAGAGTTGAATATCGAAGGCTTCTGAGCCCAAAAAAAGGTAAAATCAATAATAACAGGGAATCCCTATCACCTATGAAGCTGCCACTTTATGGTCAATGAAGTCAAATAGTTATAAAGATGGCCCTTGGTGGTAGCAGCAAGCTCTCAGCCTGACAATAAACTGAAATTCTGTACTAGTTTGGGCAATTTCTATAAATCAGAATGATTTTGCAGTAAAAACTATAAGGACCAGCTGGATCAATAATAAATACTAGAACAGTTATTTCACTAAATATGGAATATGTTTTTAAAACTTTATAGAAAATGAAGCACTAAAGTCATAAAAAAATAAATGCATATTGAATGAAATTACTTTTTTTAACCTAATGGAACAACTTAGCCACCTTCAAGATTCTGGAAGAAATAGTATGATTAGTAACAGTTGCAACAAACTTACTAAAAAAGCAAATAAACATACACAGACACACATTTACACACATGAACAGCAAGAAACATTTTTCACTGTTGGAAACACGATGCACATAAAAATAAAATTTCAGACATTATAAGAATGTCTCCCAAGACTGATTAGAATAAAGAAATGTCTGTTTTTTAAAATTATGACTTTATCCAGCATTATATATATGGAAATTCTCTCAGCTTCAAAGCAAAGGAAAAATAAATACTTGGGAAAAAGTAAGCCTTATGCAAAGGCTTTCAAATGATTTTTTTTTCTATCAGATAAGTGTCATTAAAGATGCCAAACCTTTGAGCATATTCCACTGATCTTCTAGTCTTCTTTTAGATTTGAAGATGCTATTCATCCCAGAGTGTTTGCACCATTCTGAACAAATGCTAACGTTTTCTGCCCAGGGCTAAAAAACTCCACAGAACCTTCTGCAGCAGCTCACCCTGGCAGCCCTCACAAAGCGGCCTTCTAATAAATAACTGTTTTACTTTGAAACAGAAACGTCCAATTACTACTGTGGATTACAATAACTTTTGTTCAAATATTTGAATGCAAAAGTTACTAGCATTAATTCATGCTCCATTTCACAAAGGAAATTAGGAAAGATAAAGATTATGGGTGGATTGGGGACCAGACTCTTCATCCCATATCTCACCCCATCTTCTACAATCAAATCTTTACAATTTCATAATTTAATCTTAATCAGCAAAAGTCCATTAATGGCTACCAGAAATAACTGCCATACTGCAATTAGATTAACTGCATTCCTTGAGATGGACGGGCAGTATGACTAACTGCCATACTGCAATTAGATTAACAGTATACCTTGAGATGGGCGGGCATCTATGCTTTCCCAAAGCTATTTATTATATTTTTAAGCAATAAGAAAATGGTCTCCACGACCTAGGAATCCAGGGAGATATATATGTAAGAAAGATGATTTATTTCCACTGTATAATATATATTAGAAGATTATTTACTTCTACTGTAGAACATCAGCACTTCTGCTTTTTTAAAATAATTTTATTAAGATTATATTATACAAATAAAACTAATACACTCTACATAGAGTAGAGTAAAAAGAAAGAAAAAGAAAAGAAAAAAATGCAGAAAAAAAGAAGAAAAAAGAAGAAATCTCCCCCTTCCTCCCCAGGAAGTATAATCAACATTAACAACTTATCATCATCTCTTAAAGGAAAAAAAAAAAAACCAATCACCTCTTCATCCCATATCTCACCCCATCTTCTACAATCAAATCTTTACAATTTCATAATTTCATCTTAATCAGCAAAAGTCCATTAATGGCTACCAGAAATAACAACATGCCAAACAAATTACATTAATAAATCCACTTTGAATCCTTCCTTTTACATTCACATCTCATTTTCTATCCCCCTAACTCATTTTCTATCTGTCTCACTCATTTTCAAATAAACAAAGTTTTTAAAGCATCATCATCCAGTCCTGATCAAAAATCCATTAGACCTCACCAGAGATAGCATAACAAAATGTTTAAAATATCATCATACAATCCTGGTCTACAAAAATCCATTAAACATTACCAAAAATAGCAATCTGTTTGTATTAACCTTGATCAAACAAACCAATTTTGTATTCTTTTTTCTTTTTCCCCACAATCTTTAGTTCCCTCAAAGTCCAAACATCTGCTTTCTCATACTCTCCTTATCTCTTCTCTCAAAATCATTGGCATCTTTATCTAGCCTCTTTTGTAATTCCAATATAAAAAAATTATCCACATCACTGTTCATATTCTCACTGTCACTTCTCACAAAATCTTTGACAATTCCAACAGGTCCTTTTTGTAAATCCATTGTAGAAAAATTATCCACATCAATCTTCTGGTTTAATATTTGTAATTCATTTACAATTATTAAATCATCATCCAGTTTCATTTGTAAATCCATTATTTCCATCTCTTTCTTATAAGCTATCATTTTTAAATCCACATTGAGATCCATTTCAGTTTTATTCAGTGGAACTTGCTCCTCATCAGGATCATCTTCAAATTCTATAACAGCAGATAACTTTATAATTACATCTTTAGCCCATTCGTCAAAAATTTCCTTTAATCTAGCCATCATTTATTTCCTTCTAGCATCTAACCCTCAAAGTCATGTTATCAGTTGTTTAGATATAAACAAGCACATTTCCCACAATAAAAGATTCTTTTAATTAACTTCAAAGTCTTTCTTTAATCCAAATCCATTCCAAGCCCTTAATCCATTTAAAGTTTTCTAAAATCAATGCTACAATTGCCCTTTTGCTGTATATTCCAAAAAAAAAAAAAACCTCTTACAAAATTTTAAATTCATAATTTTCTTTCTTAACAGATTGAAGGAGAACTCACCCAGTGAATGCAGCCAAATTTGCGGTTCTGAAGGTTTTCAATCTTCAACAAGAAATTAAAAAAAAAAAAAACTCCAAAGTGATTAAAAAGATGAGGTTTGGTCGAAACTTGACTCCATCAATGGCTACATTAATGGCTCTGAGCTCGGCGGAATCCCGCAACTCCCAGTTGTTTGTAAGAGACCGCAAAAAATGTCACTTTCTGCCATCTACTCACACACACACAAAATAACAGCTGCCCAGAGTACAATTGGGTGATCTCAAGGTCTCTCCTTGTTCCAGAGAAAGTTTTCAGCAGTCCAGATCCAGCATCCAGCTGCCTTTTGGCCATAATGTCTCCTGCTATCCATGGGACATCAGTTTGCCATTCCTCACTGGAAGCTTCTTCCATCAACGCTTCTGCTTTTGACACTCCCTGACTGCCTCCAGTTTCTTTCCCTAAAGCACTCAACTAGCGAACTCCCAATGGAGTGTTATAGGACTTAATGGAGTCCTATAACAGTGTTGTGCTCTAATTTATAGAAGTTCTTGGGAGATGATAACAAGTACAGTAATATTTTTATGTTTAATTTCCCTTATGTAAAACATCTTGATAGACCTTGCTTCCCGAGCCAGAAAATTATGGATTTCAGCAGCTTTTAGAAAACAATGAGCTCATATCCTGAAAACT